GGGCTAAGATAGTGCTGCATAAATATAAGTTATCGGTTTTCTGCCTATCTTTGGAAGTGCTCCACAATTATCACGGCGTTTGCGGTTATCGAAGGAGAACAGTCGCTGTATGTGGTTTACTGCGGCACATTGTTAAGCTTATATAGTGCTTTATTTCCGCCTATTTGCATAATGACGGTTTTTGTGCAGTGAACTTTTGAAAAGCATTTTAGACATACGGTGCTGGATACAAATTGTTTTGAAGTTTGTATCTTCGTCATCATCATCATCATCAACATCATCATCACCATTGTCACATGTGCTATTACCAAGCTAATGAAGGTAATAATAACGAGTAATCAATCAGTGTACTGATGATATAGTCAACGCCATTGTTAGCCAATATTTTCTTCAAAATTGCCGTCATCACCAGTTCCTGTTAACCATATCGACATATTGTCATCATTACACTTCTCGTAGGTGTTTCCGTTTGTTGCCTAAATGGTTGATGACCTATCATTTTTATGCAACTTTATGTTGATACTTTGCATAAATGTCGCATTTGCTTTAAAAAAAAAAAGAGATGAAAAGAGGAAAAGAGTTATAGACAAATAACAGTTAAATGATAATATTCTTTTTCCAACCCAGATATATTAATCATAGCATTTTATTATTTCTCAGTTTTTTTTACTTTTTTTTTTTTTCTTAAAGTTCATTCTTATCTGCTGATACATTGAATACCTTTATAACAAAACTTTTTGTTGCTCTTATTTTACCGGCTTCATTCATCCTAAACATATGTACAGTTCGGATAGTTGGCTTCAATATCTCTACGATCAATTAGTTACTGCAAAAAATCAAATGAAACAAAAAAAAAACGATATAAACAGATCAGATCGCATCTTAAGGTTACGCATCTTAAGGTTAGGACTATTTACCGTATGAGATAATTGGTGATGAATGGATGAACCGTTGGATGAACTTTAGAAATTTAAAGTTCGGTCGCTCTTTAATCTGTTTTTTTTTCCGCTGAACAAACTGACCAAATTTTTTTTTCCGTGTACTGTTTAACGGCAGCTTCATTGGTGTCTGCTTGATTCTTTCTCTTTTTCTGTTGTTTCGCACAGCCTGAACAGTGGCGTTGTTTGTCTTTTTTTTTCCACCTTTTATCCTTTTTTTTTTTTTTTTTT